AGTTTTATGTCTTGACCCTATTGAAGACAGACTACAAAAATGACAGACGTGGATAGTGAAACCATCCAATCCACATCAAGGAATCCCAAAAAAGCCGTACGAAGGTACCATGTCTGATAATTTTTCACTTTTGACTAGCTTGACTTTGTATTGACCATTTATGACAGGCTACAGGCGACACATGCAGATCACAACTACACAAATATTACAAAAATTAACCAGACACAGACAGATGCAGAAAAACTAAACCATGCATTTGACTTCTAGGAGTTTACTGCAACTCTTTATTAATCAGGTTGTCCTAATAAGTCCATTTAAGACGCTCCCATTAATCAAAAACCTGCAGCACGAGTACTGACAGGAACTAGGAAAAGAGATCACAATCCTCTCCTGTTCTAGCTTCTCTGCCATTGGCTCCCTTTAAATTTAGAATAGAATTAAAATTCCTCCTCCTCAACACCCTATAAAGCTCTTCATGGTCAGGCCCCCTTCTTATCTGAAGAGCTAATAGTACCCCTATTACCCTCAGACACTGGTTCCTTAATCAGGTACTTGTGGTTCCCTATAGCTCAAAAAGTAGAACAGGTGAGTCAGAGCCTTCAGTTACCAAGCCTCCTCTCCCTGTGAACAACTCCAGTTGGTCGGAGGCCAACCAAACTCCTCCCCACATTTAAAGAGTAGGCCTTAAGAACTTCTAAATTTGATAAAGCTATAGTTAGGGCTGGAATCGAGAATGAGACCCTAACCATCTCCTATTAATGCGCTATAGCCTAGACTATCGGGGGGGATTCCCATATGTGCACTGAGCCCTCATTAATCCTCCACTCTGTCTTTCTCACCTCATCATGGCCCATTAATCATTTACTAACTTCACTTCTTCCCCGGATTTCTGTGCCTTCTCGTCTTGCAGCGCCATCGGATCCCGTGACCCCTGCCAATGGGTCCTGCTTGACACCATTGCGAAAATCGATTGATATTAATGTGTTATATTATTAGTTATTAATATTATTATATTGCTATTACTGTTGTCACGCGTCAACCCTCGCATCTCGTTTTCCCATGATCGTTCATCTCTTCTCTTCTCTCTCTCTCTCCTCTTCAACCTCTCTCTCCCTCACCCGTAGCCCAAGTGCTTGCCTAATGGTGGTAACTGTTGGTCTCTGGTAAATAATGTTATAAGGAGTCGGTCTAGACCCTGCTCTATTTGAAAAAGTGCCGAGATAACTTCTGTTATGAATTGGTCTAAACAAATAATGAATTGAATTGAATTGAAAGTCCGTCAAGGTGTTGTGTGGTCTGGTCCCAGCATTAGATGGCTGCAAGAGACGGAAACGAGGGGGCAGTTTCCGAGTTAGTAAGGCATTACTATTTGGACAGAAAATGCTTATTATTTTTATTTTTTTAATGCTTTCCCTGTGATGGTTGGAGTTATACCGTTGTAACGCTCCGGGCCAATCCAAAAAAGGGGAAATAGGTAGAGCAAAGGTGAAGCTGAAGTGGGCCAAATGAAGCCTGGAAACCAGCAACCTGTGACAGCACAGGTTTTTTTTTTTGTATCGGACT